CTGACATGTTCAGAAAGCCTGCACACAGGAAGTCTTCAACGAGGGCTACCAAAAGCTGGAACTGCCAAGGTGTTAAACATCACAGTTGAGCTCTAGGGGGAAAGGTTCTTCCACATAAGTACTTCAGCACAGGCTCTCTCATCAGGCCTAATGTATAAAGCAGTTAAATTATTCATTCATTGAGGTAAAGCAATACAAGAAGAAAATGTATCTGGGCAGTAAATCTCCTCCCTCTGCTGGAGGGATGTCTCTACAGCAACAAAGACCACATTTCATAATTAAAGTATTTTCCTTGCCTTTCTATGTATTTCAACTCACCATATAAAGTTTTACGCTTTGCCCACCAATGCAGTCTTAATATCAGTACTAGGAGACTAAATGAAGCATCTCTTAAGTCAGCTACATGACAGCTTGTCCTTCAATTTGTTACAAGTTTAACAAGCCACCCTGAAGCAAGAATACTCAGAATTCACTTAGGCTTTCTTACACCCTAAAAGAGTAAAATGTCAAAAAACAGAAAATTCAGCTCCAAGGATTTAGAGCAGCCCTCATTCAGACTTGCTGCAATCTTTAACTAGATTAAACACAATTCAATTATTTAAGCACAGTTCAACTGGCAGCTCACAGGACGCATCCATGCAGGGAAGCCTCTCTAAGAGGAAGGGAGGAATGCATTTAGGCAGCGCACACTGCTGGAAAAGTTGACCACTCCCTTTTGCATCTGTGATATCTGGAAATTAAAAGTTTGGGAGAAAAGGACAGGGTTCCAGCCACACCACCATCCTGCATATGCACGCAGTTGCGTGTCAAAACGGAGGAAAGAACTGAATTGAGGGATTAAGTCTTATCAGGTGGTTTGCAGGGGGGGGCCAGAACGTTGAGCGGGAAGAGGAGAGATGCATCTTTCCCATTTCGCAGAGTGGGAATTTAAGCACACAAAATGACAGAATGACCTAGTAACAAAATCCCCATGCACAGTCATTCAGACTGAGCATTACTCTGGTAGAGCCTTTAATTGGTCTGGTGCGGCACAGTCGTTAAGATGTACACAATTACAGCCTCCAGTATTTTCCCTCTTCATCTAAGGTATTTAGCAGTCTGGCAGCTTTTGTTTAGAAACGCTTAAAAAAAAAAAAAAAGAAAAGAAAAAAGAACCCCACCCCCTACCTTTTCCTGCTCCAGTAACTGTTGCAGACTTGCTTTATACTGAGGAGTCTTCATGTACGCCATGAACTGCATGTACTGGATCTTAAAAGAGTCTGCAAAATACATAAGGAGATAACACATTTCAAATGAGAGAAACCGCAACGCTCCCATTTAACCCTCTTTGCTCCCTTGACCCTCCTTGCTCCCTCTTTTTTGTTGCTTGGGCTGTAAGTTAGACCAAATCACTAAAGATCAATTTAGAGAGTGCTGAAAGTTTGTGTTCCCATGCAAGCTGACCTCTTGGATCCGTTAGCCACTTACTACAGGTACCTCAACATAAGGTACCTGTAGTACCTTCCCCCACTCTCTTCCCCCACTACCACATATCCCCATTTCTTCCATCCTTTAAAGAACCGTGCCTGAACACTGATCCCACCTCAGTTTATACCTTTGCCATTGCAGATCTTAAAGCTGTACTCTTCCCACCCCATGGAAAAAAAAAACAATCTCAAGTTTTTCATTAAATCACCTCTTGCATTTCTAACCACACCTCCTCTGTGACCTCCAAAATTCAGACAGCACCTTATTTTTGTTCGACTTTGCTTTCAGTTTTACAGCAAAAATAAGTTTTGATTTCCAAGACTGTATCATTTAAAAATAAGAGAATGGTTTCATTTTAAATAATTTCTGACAAGCCATTTCCATTTAAAGTTATTCTGGCTTCTTGTTAAACCCAAGCTTTGCTGCTCTTGTGCCAAATTAGAGCTGAAACAACATCAAAAGCAAATGCAAACCAAGATACCAATTTCAGCAGCAAGCAAGAGAACTGAGACACGCTGCTGATGCCAATGGGAGCAGTGGGGTAAAGCGCCCCCTCTCCTGTTCAATCTACAGCTTTCCACTGTGGCTGTCTAATAACAGCCCTTTGATTTACCATATGTTTAGAAAGCTTAAAATAAAGGTCCCCTTAAACACACACACTGATGCCACTTCATTCTTACCTAGCAGCTTCTGTAGTGCAGGTGGGGTGGGTGTCACCAGTAGCTGGTTAGATGAATGCCGTTGCACTTTAGGAGGTAGTTGGTAATATGGACTATGAGGTGACTTGTATGCATCTAAAGCAAGAAACAGATCACACTTCAGATTTATGAAATTCAGCATTTCTGGCAAGTACACAGTAGCTTCGCCATTAGAAAGCCTGTCATTTACAATGCAAGATCCAGCAATTTGGCTAGATCAACTCCTACAACAAACGGTGTTTGAAAGGAGATCTACAATTTATCCTTGGATCAGCAGCAGCAACAGCAAGCTCTCAGCCACAGCTCAGCTGCAGCTTCTGGCAAATAACTAGGGGCAGCTTCAGTCACAATCTCAGACAGACATACCATCACCTCAAAAGGAACTTTGCTTTGATAGTAAGGGAGAAGTTACAATATGAAGACCAACTAAACGTAGCAATAAAAGTACCACCTCAAAACACTCACTCAGACCCTCAACATTTATCTAAGCTCATATGGTAGAGGTGAGGCTTCTTCTAATGCCAGCCTTAAACTCACCCTGAGGAGAGGATGAAGATGTTTGTGACACAGTTTGAGCATGCAGAAGTTCTAGTGCAGTTTGGTTCTTCTTGGTCTTGCGCTCTGTGTTTGCAGTGTTCATTTTCTTGGGACGTCCTCGTTTCCTGCCTGCCATTTTCCTTCCTTTTTTACTCAGCTTTTTCTTACGTGCTTTGGAGGGAGATGGCTTTTTAACTGAATTTGCCCCAGCCTTTTCTTCTTCAGCACCAGAATCCTAAGGGATTTTTAAAAACCCTTTAATATTTAGACATTTATATCCTCATACGCAGCAGCCCTTTTAAGCAAGCAGGAATAACTTTGTTTGTTAATTTTATGGAAGATGCACTCTAAGTAACTTGCTAGCTCGACAGATTTCCTTGAGATTAGAGCTGTCCCTGACACCCAAGAAGTTGTGTCAATTCTCTTCTGGATCTACTCATTATAGAGAAGGAAATCTGTAACTTGTCTAAGACAAGCTGATTGCTCACCTCGTATTGAGTATTTTCGCCTACTGCATTTCATTAAAGTCAAAGTACATTAAGTACTTAATACTTTTGCACATGAACAGTCACTATATTTTTAACAACATTATGCAACCAAATGGGAAAGGAAATGAGTCTTTGCATCAGCAATTCAACACACCCCAAACTCCATTCAATGGACTACAGCCTAGGAAAAACTTTGCAAGTCAGTACGGAAAGCAAATGAGGGTAGACAACGAACTGCTCTATTCATCATGCAACTTTTTTTTCCTGCAGAACTATTGCTGTAATTTTCAAGGGCAGTTCTTATGAAGTTATTACATCACATTTTTTCCCCATTGCAAGACTATAGGAGTTTACATATTCAGAACACAGTTCTCCCATATAATCAGGCTTTTACTGGCACAAATTACAAGTCCAGACATGGCTAAACAGAAAATGAAAATGCGAGAAGTCCACCTTGTTTTCTTGAACCTTCGTTGGAGTAGTTGTGTTGCTCTTATTTTCTCTTTGTTGACGACGTCTAGCTGCCTCTTGTTCCTCCTGAATAAACATTGGAGGAGACTTTATAACTTGCTGTATGCTTCTAATACAAACCCTCATCTCTCCCAGCTTATTCTTCTAGGCAGTTATCATATAAAAGACTAATTAAAAACATCCTTTGTTTCCCCGCGGGGGTGGGGGGGGGGGGTTATACTGCCCCACTGCACTGGGGTAAGTGCAAGCCACCCTATTGCGCTGCAATATCTACTATAAAGAGCTTCAAACATGCAGCCTCAAGGGAGAGCAGGCCACAACTTCTTCCTCTCTGTGTCACACTGGTGTACACATAAAATGTTTTTAAAAAAACACACCACACACCAAAAAAGCAAGAACTTTAAATGTCAATAGCTTTATCTATACCTTCAACCTTTCATGTGTTATTATGTCACTACAAAAACCTTATATGACTTGAAATGGCAAAGCCATTCAACAAAACAAATTCAATTGTAGCCAAGTCTATAAACAAGACAAAAAAAAAAAAAAAAACAAACACAAGCGACTTCTCAGGTTTACTTTCAAGTAGCCGCTAAGGACAGAAATTTTCAGAGAACTCACAAAAAGCCTTTCCTGTACCTTCCAGGTGAGGTTTCATGTGCATAAAAAAAGTTCTGACAGCTCCAACATCCTTTCAATTTAAGCAAATTTAAGTAAAAAAAAAAAAAAAGTCTTGTATGCAAACAAGACTGCATAAATGGCAGATTTAAACAGCCTCACCATTAAAAGCAAGGTAGTTCAAAGATACTTGGCCACATCTTGCATTTTTTCTTTTGACTCTCAGAAGTCTCTCTTCTCCCAAGTTTGAATTTGGGGTTTAATTTAAGCAGCCTCACTTAATTCCTCTCACTGGGAATGCCAGCTCCATAGGTCATTTCAGACCAGTACAGCCCAGCACAGTCTCAGAAAACCTCTGGCATTTGAATTCCACATGCGGTAGCACAGGCTGCAGCAACAGACGACACATTTCATGTCTTAAATAACATGCCCTCAAAGTAACAGCTCAGAGCGCTCTTAAGCTTCATTTCAAAGCTTACAAACTTTGGGACAGATTTACTTCGCTATTTCTTTCTTAAACTCCAGTTCTTTAGTGAACGAATAGCTCCTTATGGATCTCCAATGCAAGGGAAAACACACCTTAAGGCTGCCCCATTAATTCTCAATTATAAAACCCTTGAACGTGACTGTAGTAGCGCTTGATGGCGTAACATGCTTCACTTCAATAACTTTCATGCACGCGTTTCCTGCTCATCAAGAAATTTTTTCTTCCTAGCAATTCTGTAGATCTTTAGCAAATGACTTTTCAAGGTTCAAAATAATGGAGCAGCCATTATGAAGGGTTTCTACAGAAAACTGACTGAAACTTACCCTGAGTTTTGGATTTTTGAGACTAGAAAAATAGTTTTCAAGCTGAAAAGGGAAAGATAAGATAGTCATTTTGTAAGTCAGAACAGAAGAACAAAATATTCATTTAAAACAAATGCAGAACTGCTGAAATTCTGACCATTTTTTCTTCTGATAAGCCACATTAAGAAGCCATTTCCATTCACACTTTTTAGAGACACAGACTCCAATGTTGTAAAGCAGGACATAAACCAAGCCTCAACAAGGCTTGATCATTTTCAGTACAGCCTAGCCTTGTTTTAAAGCTTTTTGTAATATATCGCCACTCAACAGAAGGTTACTTTCAGTAAGGCTACTTCACTCTTATTCCTCACTAAAATATTTGTCTGCACTCTAGCATATTCTTTAACAACAACATTATTAGACTGAAGCAGGCTTAGAAAAGTAATCTTACCACCATATTGCAAAAAAACCTCAGATACTGTGGAAATAAAGTATTTTTCCACAAGAGTTTACTTTTTTTTTTTTTAAAAAGAAAAAAAGTGAATGCATTACTTCGTAATTGCAAGTTCAATTATGATGGAGAATTACTGCTTGCATATCACAGAGTGAAGTGCTCTGTATATCACAAAGCAAATTAAAGAATTAAAAGCACAGAATTTTTCCTAAACAAATTTTTTACATCGAGTAAAGGTTACTATGCACAGTTGATATACTGGAACATGAAAAGGAATTATATTTGTAAATCTGTGCATCTTCAACTAATTTACAGACTACAATACTACTGTGCATAATTAATCTGTTTGTGCAACATGCTGCTCTGAAGTAGCGAAAGGCTAAACTACACAGCATTTTTTGGAACGTTTAGACTGAGCAGATAACCGGTGAAGGGCACTCATTCCAACAAGGTGCATTACAGGTCTGTACATAGCAAGAACAATATGAAAACGACTCAAGAACGAGGGTCTGAAGCTTGCACGCTGATTCCAAAGTAGGTAAAGCAGCTAGAGATCCACCAGCCTATATTTGCATACTCACTATGGTTCGGTCAATAGTATGCAGGTAGTAAGAAACTGGTTTCCCGGTCCATGACACAGACCCTTTCAGTGGTGATAGCTCCACAACTCTCATTATAGTGCCAATATCTAAAGAAAGAAAGCCGAGTCAGGGAATTAAAGCTCAAGCCAGTTTTCCACTCAATACTACTGAGCTGAATCCAGCCATGCAGTATTGAAGCGTGTTCTCAGCAAAAAGATAAACTTTGCATACAGAGCAGCAAGTTTAAGAAGCATTTCTTATTCCCTTGCCATATGTACAATACCTGAAAGCCTGGGAAATGCATGTTGAAGATCTGTTTTTATTTTTTCCATAATCAAGCATTCTAGAGTAAAGTTATGAGTTAAGGCAAACTTTCAATAGAACAGAACTTTCCTGTGCCTCAGAAGTAACTTGTACAAGGAACCCAGTGACAACACATCTGCAGTGATAGGCAGGATCTAATTAGATAGGATCAGTTAGAGAATGTAGATAGATCCAACCCATGTAAACTACAACTGCACTATATTTGTATTGAGGACAAATGTTTTATAATTTGCTTTCTTGCCTACATTTGTTTTGTTCTAATTTCCTACATTTTACCTACATTGTAATACTTGTTTTGGTCTGTCTCAATTCTTCCCACATTTCCATTTCTTTTCCCAGGAGGAATTACTAAGGACAAAAATGGTATTGAGGAAAAAAAAAAAAAAAAAAAGGTTGCAGCCTCCTTAAAGTTTTATCCTTTCTATTCTGTTTTTTGCAGTTATTTAGCTGTTTATACTTCAGAACAGAACAATTAACAGACAGCAGGCCACATCAGTCAAGTCACGCTCGGGCACAAAAGAAACAAACCTGCTGAATAAAAGCATTACGAAAAAACTAGTAAGGCAGCAGCATAAAGCTAGCAAAGTGAACAAATCACCTTCCCTGTATGTCAAGGATATGCTGCATTTTTATACCATGAGCTCTAAGTGGATGACACTTCCTTAAAAGCATCATTTAGAACAAGCTATTAAGCCTGGAACATGCCCCAGCCTAGAATATCACAGGAATGTTTATTTGATATTGGTATTTCCCATGTACAGTATGGTTGCAGAATGGGATTCCCAAATTTCCACAATTCTTCCCCATTATTTGTAGTACATAAAAGGTAATTCCTTTTGAAGACCTCTTACTGGAATTACTGTAAGTTTCCTATTAGGGGAAGCTATTATCTGTTCTTTTGCTAAGCAAAAATTAAGGCCAAATCTTAATTAGCTATCTCTAAATAATTGTAGTGGCAACATTCACATAAAGTATCAAATACCAGGTGGCATTCCAGAAAATTATTCCCACTGAAATCATACTGGGGTGAAGGCTGAAACAGGATAAAGAAATGGCTCAGCTGATAGTCAAAAAAATCAGGCCTTTCATTAGGGAAAAAAAAGTGGTACGTTGCCTACTTTGCCACCCTACCATTTATTTAAAAACTGTAGTATCCCAAACCTAGCAAAGACAGAGAACAACATAGTGAAAAGCCTGGAAAGAAAATGCTTCAAAGGCCAAGAAATTATATATATATAGGCAGATCTCTTAACAGAAGCCTCTGAAGTACCTTCTTACATTTCATGTTACAGCGTGCTGTAAAGAGGTAAGAGGCTTTACTTAGGTGCTCTTTGTCTTATTAAGAAGTGACAGACTGATCTCAGCTCTCCGGAGGTTTGAGGATTGCCAAGTAATACACCCCTGTCCGTTAAGTACATGTCTGAAAAGGACTGGCAAACTAGAGTCAAAACGGTTACTAAGGTTCCAAGCAATCAGACACTACAGAAAATAGTATCGCAAACACGCAGGAACCTGGTAGTTTTGGGTGTTCGATGCACAGGACATTCACAACAATTCAAGTTTAGCAAAAATAAACCACAATGGCGCTATTCCAGTGAAAGGTCTTAATGACAGCCTTCAAATTACTACTCTCGAAAAGCAGTTTACCATAAACAGCAGGCCAAAAAAAGGAATACAGAGACTGAGATTTGTAACTCAGTATGTCACCTGCCGTGTTTGTAGAAGGAGTGGAATAAGGTGGCTTTTTTAGTTTAGGGAGGGGTTTGCACTGGACGCAGGAAACGCACGTAAGCCCTGGCCTGGATCTTCCTACTGCTTGCAAAGCTTTCAACAGTTAAGAAATGAAAAAGGTCAGAAGCAAAAGCACAACCCCGGGGGTATGACCATTCTCAAAACCTCAGACTGCAGTTCACAGACCTGCAAAGAATAACATCGGCAAACATCAAGCCTACTCAATTCAGAAGGAAAAAAAAAATTGCTGGCAACAAAGCAGATGCTGCAACTGGGCCTTTATGGGACGGGCCTGTTTGATCAGTTTACGGTAGAGAAGATAAGGCATTCAAAGATATACACTTCAGCTTCTAAGCCTTACAAATCTTGACTGGTGGGATTTACCTGTCCAAATTTAGACAGCTATGATATAATGAGTCTATGTGCAAGCTAATCACTGCAACTCCCTTTGCAGTTAAAAATGAATCATGCCCTAGAAACACCTTATTTCTCTTCAACTACAAAACATACCCAGGCAAAGGAAGCCAGTGAAACATCTGCACTATAGACATCTAAATGTAGCACGATGAATCCCATGAAAGGAGTGTCCATCTTCTCTGGTGAATTTATTTAAGACATCTGTCCCTTCGGCATGTGTGCTATAATACAACAGCATTTTTGTATATGCTTACAGAGCTCTTAAAAGAGCAGCAAAAAGTCCCACTATAGACGTGGTCAGACAATGAATACAGAATAAGAGCAATAAACAAGGAAAAAGGGCAATCATACCGCTCAAGTTTCGACTGTTTATTCTAAAATTCAGAGGTGCAAAAGGTTTTGAGGACACAATTCTCCCACCTGGAAAAAGAAAAATTGTAGAGTCAGTTAACACTATTTCTGCTAGAAATGACTAGTTACTAAACGTAACTCAGAACACAGTCCTAAAGCAGCCCAAATAAAACTGTATATCATTGTCAGAAAAAAATGCCACAACACTAATGCTGGCAGCATCTAGGAAAGTGAATGTATTAGCCCTGCTAGCTAGCTATGAGGTAGCGCATCAAGGACCACTTAAAAATGACAGATCTTAAAAATGCTTCAGAAAAAGGAGCATATTAATTCTCTGTGGCAATCTACAAAAATTTAATTAGGAACACTGCTATCTCATTCCTACTTAGGGTCTCTCTTATACACAAGCCCCCAAAGTCCTTTCATCTAAAAAAAAAAAAAGTGCTAATCTCAATTTTACAGCTATTTATGGTCATTTAATCAAAGGCGCAGAGCCTGAGCAAATCATGAAACAGAACCATGGAGAGAACTCAGGTGTCTCAATTTTATGAGGAGCTCTTGAACCTGCCGCATCTTCCACTTCTCTCAAGACACTACTAAAGAAAAATCAAAAATATTGACCAGAATAATTAGAGAAGACAGATTAAGTTTTGGGGTTTTCTGGTTTCTATCAGAGCACAAAAGTTGCACTATCTACTTCAGCTTTGGGCTGAAGTTGCCTCTTCTTTGTTCTTTCCACATACTTTCTTTTTAAGAATAAACACTTATTTTTGTAAATTGTATTTGGTTATGGCAGAAGTCTTAACTGTCCAAGTGGTAAAGCGGAAAGAAACCAAGACACCAAGAGTGCCTCAGGCAACTTAAGGGCCACCGTTGCGTTACAGGACGTTCCAGTCGCTAGCATCCGTGATGCATCTTCTCGAGAGGCACCCGAGATGCTGCCAGTGACAGCGTCCACAATTTAACGCTTACCAGTTAATACTCAAGTCCAAATGTGGCAATGTTAAACAGGAGAATCCAGCAATTACATTCAGCATGCAATTACAGAAACTGGATTTACAAATCCCTGTGTGTACAGCCAGGAAGCCTTGCAGCTTCCACAGTTAGATATATCTTCTACTCCCCTCTTCCCACCATTGGTGTTCAGAGCATTCAAATTTCACAAGTTTACCAGTCAGAAGTTTTGTCAACTCCCATAGCACGTAGGACAGGAGGGGTAGTTCCTGCCACCCCACAAAGCCCCACGTAAAACCTTTAACATGCAGAGCATGTTAACGGGGATCATGTGGATTGGAGTATATTTAAGACAGGAAGTAAGAAGTCGAAGCACTAACCACCGCGATGCAGCTACTTGTCCAGAAGGAACAGAATAAAACCCACCAACCTGACTTTTGATGGTTATAACTAAACCATTACCACTACCAGCTCCCACAGCACTGCAGGAAACCAACGGAAAAGGATTTTAAGTTCGATTTGTTACCTTCCTTCATGTTCGCAAATCGCTCCTTCAGTTGGTGATCCACCTCAGGACCAAAGGCAAAATTATTCACAAAAATAACACTGCAAGATAATGGTCTAGTTAATAAACGGGGACAGACAAGTGGCATTTTAGTATACATACACTACTATCCCTCAAAAAGCCTGCTGCAAGTGACAGTCACTATTACAAAACAGAAAAATGCTATTTGTCCCTGATTATACAGCTACTTCCATCCAGTAAACAAGTTCTCCTCTTACATAGTTTCACAAGACAGTAAGTTATCTTTAGCTTTCACAGATATTGTTGAAACACTGTCATCCTATTACGATTACTCACATCATATTGCTGGGCTTTGCACCGTAAACTTATTATTTACATCAGCAAGTTTCAACACAGAAATACTGTTTAAAATATTTTCACCATATCTCGTACCGAGATCAACCCTAACAAGAGCAACTACCAATACGCTTACAGTAGTATAGCAACACATGAAAAACATTACTCCAATATAACAAACTTCATCTAATTATTTCTTCACATTTGTTTAAGAACACCGCAGCAAAATATCATAGCTTTTTCTGCTAGTTTAAATTCCTTCATAACGTAAAGAGGCAGCTCACATCTCTCAATTCACTATCCCTGTCCTAAGCTCAGCACTTCATCCTAACCTACAACAGGAGGGTTGCATCTTTCTTTCTGGGTTATGAAATCCAATGAGGGTTTTTTGCTCCTGAAAAATATCAGTCACGCAGAAACAGAGACCTGCACAAAGGTAGAATCACACAAATGATAAGAGTATTTGGGAAAGAAACAGGACACGTCATGGGTTAAAGAAGAAATAAAATGTCTATTTTTAAGCAGCAGAAAGTCTGTTCCTACTCTGTCCTTGGTTCCTATTTCCTATCAGCTTGCAATAGGAGTCCTCAATATCTTTCAGAAGCCATTAAGCACTGTGCATGCATAAGCTGTGTAGGCCTTTCCTGTATATTGTTTCAACGTACAGAATCAATTTCTTTACAAGAGGTCTGCTTGCAAACTCCCCTTCCAGTGCCTCCACACACGAAACATGCTCAAAAAGGACACTGAGCTTAAGAGTAGCAGCCAAAGCTATTTAAAACCACAGTTAAAATAAATAAATATATATGTATATATAAAGATATATATATAAAAAAGTATATATGCATATTCACCAATAAAAAGGAAAAAAAAAAAAGAACTTATTCTTGCTATGTTTTGCTCTTAGAAACTTAGGAAACCCTGCTTGGCAAGTAAGGCTAGCAGGGGTTCTTTCCTCCTCCTTCCCATCGCATGCCAAAAAAGAGGCCTTGCAGAACAGCCAAGCATATTAATGTGACTAGAAAACATCCAGGAAAGGAAGGGAAAAAGAGCAAGTCTGCCAGGAATATTCTTTAGTGTTCGTTCTGGCACAGTATTTTGTATGCACGTGACAGAACTACAGGAGCCCCTCGTCCACCTTGATTTCATCCCTCTTTTCAGTGCATATTGCTAAGCCTCAAGAAGAGTTAACTGCGTCACACAGCTTGCTTACATGTCAGCACTCCCTTGAACAGTGCTGTGTACTAGTAAAAATGCATGTACTCCCTTCAGAGTTTGGCCTTTGGTCCATTTACGCTAGAAGGGTGACACTTCAACTTACTCTAGAAGTTTGGATGGCTCAAACGTAAATTTATCGGGCAATCTGCGCTCTCATTAAAAAGAGCAGATGCTGAACAGTTGGCACCCTCAGAACACAAACAAATGCCTAACATTTGTGAACAAAAAAAGCTACTTCTTTACGAATTTCCGTAGCAGAGAGCAAGGATCAGCGTGAAGACAAGTAGCTGCATACCATGCAAAATAAACATCTACCAGCATTTCCCTATGCAGTTAGATACACTCCATCTAAAAAGAAAAATCAAAATTTCTTCCAAAGGAATCAAAGCTGCACAGACAGCAGAGGAGTACACACGTAGAACAGCAAGCAACAAAGCAAAACCACGTTATACTGCTGGGCTGGGACGTCTGTCCACAAATTAAGAGGCAGCTCCAGAATTTTAACTGAGGTGCATAACGCAAAAGTCATCAGGCTGGCAGACGCTTTCTTAATGGAGAGCTCTTAAACACTGTCCTGGGAGCAATCCATGAATTGCCACAGCCCTGAAGACTTTCAAACGTCTTCCTATTTGACAACCGTCTTCCATTCCCCCACGTAATAGGGTGGTCCTAGAAGGTCAAATACTAGTAAGACTTCTTTCTGTCCTTAAGGCTGAAAGAACGCAAAGCCTTTAAAGTATTAAAATATTCCTCCATATTTTTAACAACCTACTCCCTTTTTACTACAGTCAAAAAGGGCTCTAACCTTCATACAGATCTTCAGATCTAAGCATTCAAAAAACAATCCATTTAACCAAATTCCCAATTTAAGATGGCACAGCCTCACTTGGTCTTTTGCTTTTATTCTTTTATTTAACAGAAAGTGAGCCTAGCTGTATGCGAGGTAATTAGTATTTTGCCAGAATAACTGACATTCACTATAAGGATATACAAGACACAAATAGGGTTCTATTCTCTGTATAACCAGATACACCCTTCTGTGTAATGTCAAGGAACATGCACTTAAATGCATTCCTCTAGTCAGAAAACAGGATCCAAAGAAGCCAGTATAAAAGTTGGCAGATAGGCTTGTGGCTATTTGCTATGGAAATTCTATATAGAAAGCTGGCCAGCCTCCCAATTTCCATTATACAGACTCCCAAATATTCAGTTCATAAAGCGGCATTCAACTGCTGTACTGTACCATACCTTGTGTTTGCAATTCTCTCTCTCCACTCTTCTGAGAGGAAGTCACCTCTTTCCAGCTTAAAAAAGAACAAAAGACAAAACAAAAACCACACACAAACACACAAGAGTTAACATTGCTCCTTCCAAATGCATATCTCCTCTTGTTTAGAGGAGGCCAAGCATGCTTTATTAATTCAGTGATACTACTACAAATGAAGCCATGTGAAATCTTTAGGAAATACCCAAAAGATAAAACACCCACAATTCACGAGCCAGCTTTTTGGTCCTGGAAGGCCTCCCTTCTCTGCTCCCACCCCTCAGCTATTCTTCCATCATGGGAGAAATGGGCAAGGATCTTTCAGGGTATAACCAGGGTCTTACAAACACTATACTCGGATACAGAGCACGTAAGGCAAAAGGCTCTCTGCACTGCAGAATCTGTATCGTAAGCATTCAACGAACGTCTCCTCAAATCCCCGCTGACAAACAAGATCCTATCTTCCTCTTTTTACAGGGGAGGGAATCGAAGCAAGAGATTCTGCCGAATGCTGGTAAAGCCCATGGCCAAGCTAGGCTTTCTTCACAACTGACGGGCAGGCATCTGATTCTTCAGTGGTGCCAAGTATGAATCTTGAATGCTTCTAACACTTTCAAGTTAGAAACCAAGTAAGACATAAAGGCCTTATTTGAAAAGGACTGTATTGATGACCTCAGTAACCTATCTAGTAATGCGCTGATGAGAACACATCATGGCACAGGTTAATACTGCAACAACAGAGTTACTCTGCAGATCAACAGTTTCTTCAGCTGTGCTTCAGGAATGAGGGAGGAACCTCACAGGACACGCTATTTTGCTGTGTCACAAGTAAGGCAGGAGGAGGGCTGGAGGGGGAGAAGAGGAAGGAGGAGAAAAAAAATAACATGCAACTACGTAATTAATGATTGTAACATACTGAAGGAGGAACAAGTAAGATGAAGGTTTGTATCACAACCCCAAGAACATCAAAGCAACAGCAGTGATTGCTTAGCATCCTTTTTTCCCTGCGTATATTCCTTTCTATTGGAAGAAAGGAACACTTCAAACGCCAGTACTTATTCTAGCTTAGGTGACAACTCAAACAGAAGTGCACGCACTGCAATGCAGATTCACTCAAGCTACTTGAAGCCTCACTAGCACAGCAGGGATATCTGTATCCGTTCTGGAGCATGATGTCTTCTAACACAGCTTTCCTTTCCCAGTAGAGTAGGTTGACTTAACTCAGATGGGAAGAAAGGATGGGAAAGGGGGGTAAACCCGTCTGCCGCTGCGAAGGAAAAGGCCACAGTTGCTCACAGGAGTCTGTCTGCTCCACCAGAGGACGAGGAGGGCTAAGAGAAACAAACATCAAGGATTCTTAGGCAAGAGCCAGGTCAAGAACCCTGCAAGGGGCCTTAAGCTTAAAAAAAATTGTACAAGCTGAAAACAACTGGTGAGGATAACGCTTAAAGTCAATCGGAATCATCTGCTCTGCCTAACGGTGGCACTGAAGTAAGGTTTTAAATAGAATAGTCACCTGTATTATCACGCATGCTTTTTGTAGAAGGTGCAAGGGAGTGTACCTTTTCTCATCTCTACTACAGTTCATAAAGTACATACTGGAGACTGAACTGAGAGAGAAGATCCGACCTAAACAAGAAATACATTCAAAAGCTAAAGCAACATCAGAAAAGTTTTGCATATTTTTCTCATCTACTACGCTTAACTTCTAGGGTACCATATACCCTATTTGCGAATGCATATTTTCCCGGTATTATTTTTAAAGCATAATCCTGTCTCAAAGACTTATCTGGTCTTGTAGTAAATAGTTTCTTGGTTGAATAACCAAGAGAGTAGAAGAAAACCCACATGCAAGTTCACTGTACTTATTTTACAAAAATTTGTGCAAGTCAGCTTCTATATTGCTGTCTTCCATGCCATACAATTTCTGATGGCTGCAGGAAGTTTTCATACAGTAATAGGAGAAAGAAAAACGCTTCAGGAATAACCAAGTGTGATCGTAAAGCCGTAGTCTAGCAGGAGAACAGAGAACCAGAGTATCGCGAAACTATTTTGAAATATTAAGTTTTATATAAAGGCCTTGAACTCTAACGTAAGTGGTTGTGAAACTTTATTTGGACCCAATTACACTATGCGTTTGCCTTGCCCATGTGTTTAGGAAAAGAACAGTTACAACCAAAACCTCCATGTTTAAACTCGATACACACATACAGGCTGAACACGTTTTTCCAGTCTACTTTAGTAAGATATAGCTGTGTTACAATTCAAATGAACCACAGTCCCCTTTAAACAATTCTATTTCTGTACTGTAATGCTACCCTAGCTCAAACTTAGCCAATACTTGAGGGAAAAATCTCACCCGGAAAAAATACTGGAACACAGAAATAACCAGATGGTCAACTATGGTTGGGAGAAAACTGGTTATTTTTTCCCCCTCTGGAAGCAAAACAGTGATTCCTAGATGAGCTGCCTGCTACACGCAAAACAGAGCGCAAGAGCTATCTGATTGACTCTTCCCAACAAGCAGCTCCTTTATATACCACACATAAGTATTTATTGATCACTGTTTCCTAAAAGGGGAAAAGTACGCCCTTTCCTATCGACTCCAATGGGATGCAAAAGCCAACATCTCCCAGCAAGGCAAAAGCCCAAATGAAAAATCACAGTCAACTCTGCCGTCTGCAGTAATTTTGAAGACTGAAACAAGAACGGGTAAGGAAACGCAAGTTAACAGCACACTCCTGACCAAGTGCTGCACTAGGTAAGCCAGTAAAAGAACACTATACATTAAGGTCATGTAGGGAATCCGCAGCACGTCAGCGTGAAACGGCAGTAATAGCAATGGGGATGCGCTCAATCTCTCCCAATCAGTGTCCCCACCCCCATCATGTTCTCTCTCTCTCGCTGAGAAACTTAATCTCCTTAGTGAATAATGAATGGAAGGGACCATCTGTAATGCAGATATTTTCATCTGATTAGACAATGCAGGAGACGCGCTTTATCTGAAAGGATAATTAGCTCCCTGAAATCCGCTTCAGAGAGCTGCCAGCCTGCATTGTTTCTAAATTTAGAAGCAAAAACCAGGTTTTTCTTCAGGTTTTTCAGCTGGATAAATTTGCTCGACAGACTGCAGAAACATGTTCAACGGTATCCGAGTCCTCTAACTCAAAAGAAAACTGGCAGGTTGCAGCCACCGGGAAGGAACAAGAGACACTATAGCAGGCTTCTATTCATTACATTGCAGCACAACGGTTTCTGAAGGTCAAGCGTCCTTTTCCTTGGGACAGGACTTCGTTCTCGCCCCAGATCTACACCGGCAGTTTCTCTGGTAATGCCGTTTGACCGACTGCACAAAGCCATAAATTCACACGCAGAATGTCTCATTCCAGCAGCCTCCATGCAAACACTTGGCTCACAAAAAAACAGTTAATTCTGCCTGGAAAAGTACACATGGTTATTTTTAGGTTCCTGTTCTTTTCAAAAATAACTGGAGGCACGAATCCAAACCTCCAAAACATGGCATCATTTCAAAGCCACAGGGGACGTTTGGAGGGCTTTTCAAATACCAAAACATCAAGTTTCCCGCTGAAATAGGGCATTCAAAAATATCTGGGACAAACAGATTATCTTGCCCTTTCCTTAGCTGGAGTGTGCTGTTAAGCAATGGGAGGTTTTAAGTACAGATGATGTCAGTTATAGCCCCACAAATCACAGCCCAGCTACTGGTATCAGGCAGTAAAAGACAGTGCTACTCCTACACAACTCATCCTGCTTTTATTCAGAAGTGAGATTTCTGCGAAAACAAGCACCTCAAACCTAGCCAGAGAGAAGCCTGCAAGCTTACAGATGCCAGGCTTCCACTCACTCACGCACAAAGATTACCTCTGATTCACGGGGCTGAACCGAAGAGCATCCTCTGTATTAGAAGCTATTGGGGTTTCCTTTGAATAGGCAGTATGTGATGTTAGAGGTGTCAATCCAGCCAAAGTCTCAGCCGTTAGCAACGCTGATTTGTGTTTTCCTACCCTTATTTTGAAGATTTTCAGATGATTTCCTCCTACTGTTAAAATAAGCTCTTAAGGAGCAGAGGAAAGCCTTCCATTATAACAACCCAGAGTAAACAAACAAACAAAAACACACCCTCGTGTTCAGCAGAATGACAGGTCCACTGCGGGACTGCAGCTACTGCCAACTTTACTTGCACAGAGCTACTCTAACCCACTACTGGAAAACACGTTCTCCTTAGCAAAACAGTACAACAGGTAGCAGGCATTGAGGACACAGCAAAAACTTATTTCAAGAGTACCCTGGGAAGAACGCTTGGGCACTTTCTTCTGCAGGGCAATCTCAGCATTACACCCTAGACACCTGGAGATGGTTCTGATTTTGGATCCACAGGAAGATATTTACAGTTAGAAACCATGAAACCCCATCTATCTCTTAATTGCAATACTGTTTTAATTTGGTGACTGCACATGTGCAGAAATTCCCCAGGAGAAACTTTCTAATTACCTAGGCCCAACAACCTTAAAAATCTCCAGTTTCCTTCAGACAACAGGTTTCTTGAAAAAGACTGAGGTGGAGCTAATCTTTCAAAAACTTTCAAGTCCCATGGGAAAAGAAACCAGAATATAAAAGGAGTTGAAACAAAATCAGATGGGTTCAAAGTGGAACAATGGAGCCCAAAAAGCTGAAGCAGCTACTTACTGCTGATGAAAAACCTCTGCAAGTATAACATACTCCTTCCAAACACAGAGAAGACTAGCAAAGAATATGATTGCTCCTAACCGATACCAGGGAAGCACAAGGACAGATAATTACTCATAGAGAGCTTAAGCATTTAAATTGAAATTAAAAACTAAAAGAAGGCATTTTACCAGAAAGTGTTGATTTTTTTTTTTTAATTAGAATCATGAGATTGAACAGCCTGTCATTTAAAATGAAACTCAATTCACTTATTAACAAGATGATTACCTTCAATAGCTGGAGATTAGAAAATTTCCCCAGTCAATCTATGAAGAGCAAACTCTCTCCCACTTGTCTCATGCCCAAAGTGGCTATCCCTACTCGCAAGTTGCAGTAATAATCCATTAATAGCAGCTATAGCCTTAGGCATCCAACATGCCTTAGGACGGTTTGGCCCTGGCTACTGGAGAAGTCGAACACACAACTACCGTTTGAAAGTGACTACCAATGTTTTTTTTCCACTCGACAGATCCGCATATATCTGACTCTGCATATTTTGTATGGAAATACTTCTCAAAGATGAATTTTCTTCTAACATACGTTTACTACTGTGGACAAAATACAATGGAAATACAGCGAGACAACCAGCGTTCCCCTGAACCTCGCTCATCAGAATTAACGCGCTGAAGTTCTGAACTTCCAGCAATAGCAGTAATATACCAGTGGAGAAGGACAAGGAAAAGAAATCTCAACCTCAAACTCCAACTGATGTTTGCAGAGCCGATAAGTGCTAGCTATCAACTGTTGCCTCACCAAAATAACGTCAGTTAAAATACAAGATTTAAGACAGTCAGCAGATCACTTTTCAGAGAGTGATCAAAAATCCATTCATCTTGGGATCATAGAGCTGAACTAGGCTCCTGGCTGTTAAAAAGTAAACCTGCAGGCCGAACCCCAGGATTTATGGTTGCCTTATGTACCACAGTTTTTACTTCTACAGCAAAGCAGCTGTGACATGCATGAAGTCTAAACCACCGTCCGCATTATTCAGACAAAGCAGCAGGTGGGATCTAAGACTTCTTCCCGCTGAGCTTCTGCCAAACTTCCCTCCTCCAACATTTTATTCTTCTCAAAATATTTATTTTGCATATGACTGCCTAAAACATTAGAGTGGAATTCAGAAATTAAGCTCTGTTGATCATAGACTATTTCAATCTGTGCTTATTCTGTCTCCAGCATTTGGAATTTTGGGATCTCACTAAACATTTTACAGAGAGAAGATTGTTCCGCACCAAGATGAAGGTACCAGGCTTTTAATCCCCTGCCTTTCAGGGTCTTCTAGCTGCCTTATGACACAAGTTTGTTATCTAAAAATAGAGTCACCTGTCTAAAGAGCTAAGGAGTGATTAAAAAGATACATATATACACACTGTTTGGCAACAGAAAGCAAATGCAAACCTCTGTCTGGTGAAGCAATAAAAACAAAATAAAACCCAACCTTGTGCGTCCACACAGAAGAGACCAAACTCCATCTTTAAGCCTCACTGTGACAAAGTGATAAGAAACCAATTTTCAGTTAAGTCAAAAAGCACTGCAAGTTCTCAGCACTTCCCAAAAAAGCAAACTGCATACTTGAAGGAAAAAAAAAATATTGTTCTAAACACTTTTTACAAAACAGAGTTATAAAAGCCAAAGAATCTAGAAAAAAAAAGAAGTTTTGTTTCAATACAGTACCAGATTCTGTCACATGGAACGCACAATATGGAAATGCTTGCAGCCTAAGGCAATCAATATGCTTTCAATATTTTAGTCCAAGTTCCTCTCCTATTCTTTAAATTGCACAGCTCATAAGCAGAGTTATCTTCAGTAACAATTCCTTTCATGTAATGCCAGCTGGGTGACACAATGGAAAAATGCCATATGGCCACTTCATGAAAAGTAAAGCACGCACAGCGTTTCCACAGCAGGAAAGAGTTAGCAGCTTGATATCAATCCTGCTACAAACTAGTCCCACAGCAGGCCCAGCGTCCTTCTGATGAAACTCAAGCTATATGATAAAGGTGTTTTAGGAAGAAAGTGCACAGAGGGAGATGGTACTGTCACCTTGCCCCAGCCTACTTCCAAAAGGGAGAATTGCAGCACCCCTCATTACAAGATAAGCCCCCTAAAAAGCTCTAGGGGGCTATAGCTCTCAGTTCAGTCACAAAAACTGGGAAATAAAGGCTGGCCACCAACAACCTGTCATCTGATACTACACTACTGGGATGCTAATAGCCATGTGGTTCAAACCATTCCAAAAACATAGCAATAATGTGATCTGTACAAACAAAATGGAAAAGTAGTTCCTCAAGCTTGCTTGCACCTCAGCTACAGTACACATCACTAGCTGCAACTTCCAAGCAGGAAAGAGCGCTTTAACTTCTCTAGGCAATTAGGGGACACCACTGATCCATGCATCCTCTTTCCTGAGGACAAGAAGTGGTAGGAGAAGCACACGTGCAAGCATTACTAAAATCCTCAGCGGGCTGCTAGTGTACTATGATTATATACATTTCCTCACAGGCAAGTGGTTAATTAGGGGAGTAGTTTTTCTTAATGACATTTAAGAAGGGGGAGAAAAGGGAAAGGGGAAGCAATAACACAAAACAGTATGACATGACTGCGCACGTGCTTGAAACTATCATTTCAGAGTGGAAAACACATCCACAATGACTGAGGAAGGTTAGGAGAAAGGGGAAAGCTGTTCCAACATGTATTCCTAGTTCCAAGGAGACAGATGCCCTGCGATGACCCATTTACTCCTCCTGCTCTAGTTCCACCCTCAGAGCACTTAATTTCAATCCTTTACAGCTCAGGACTAACTATTAATCATCTTTTCCAAGACTGCACACCCACCCCTTACCTCCAACTAAAAACTACCTATCCTCCTACAAACCCTGGAGCTTCGTGCACTGATCTTGCAGTGCTGGTAGTCAACCCAGAACTTCAACCCCACGCTCCCCAAAGCCGAAACACCCCTGCCATCCCTTCCATCGCCTGTCCCAGATGACCACACCTTCACCTGCCTGCAGGACCAAAGCTTCAGCTTTGTTTCTACTAGCAGGAGATTTCAGAAACCTAAACAGGGGTGAAAGAAGATTTGACCCAGAAAAGACACATGGCAGCCCCATTTCATGAATGACAATGCTTTGGAAGAGTAAAATCTTCCAAGCACTTCTGAAAAGCCCTGAAAGTACTCCCAATGACACCATACCAAATGTCAAGTGAGACAAAGAGAAAAGGCCCTGGGAGGATGCCTTAGAGAACACCATCCTCGGGATTAAGATAAAAGCCAAGAAGCAGATGACTCATACTGCTGCTTGGCTAGTGAAGGGATGAAGAGGACTTTGCAAATTCTGTACATCAGCATGGATTACAAAGTTTTTCAGCTGAATTTCACTCACTGTGTATTCTGCATGTTTTTTCCCATACCATTTCATCCACTTTCTGAACTCTCTGTCCATCGTCTAGAAGAGGGAGGAAAAACAAAACCACCTATTAGGACAGCTCGTGTTACCAGTTACATTGCAGCGAAAGGAGATGCAACTCTGACAGCGTTCATTGACCCACAAGGCATTTTTGCCATTAACACTCAAAGGACAGACACATATCTACTGCAGTTTCTTTTTCCTAAGAAACATCTTTACTTCACCAGGGCCAAGTCAAAACTGGCATCTTCTTCTCTCCTCCCTTTTTCAGCAAAGTTGCATGTTATAGAAAGGCAACCTCAGTTGACTCAGCACTAAAAATGGCACAACCTAAAGAAGCTACTGTGTTGTGCTATATAATCCCACAGTGCGTAGAAGGCATTGAATGCAGCCCAGCCTAAATCCAGATAGCAAAGGAGCAAATGGGATAGAGACAGGTCTGCTAGGGTAAATGAAAAAGCAGGAGGTGGCATGCAGAGCAAGTGCAACACAGCAAATGGAAGGAGCATCACACTTGCCAGAGCAATCAGGAAGAACACTTTAAAGTACTTTTAAACAGACTAGGGTTACAGGGGATAGAAGGCTCCTCTACTATCAAACCAGGTAGCTGGCACTGGTTATCCATTGCCCGAAAACAGGGAGAAAGGAGCCAAAAACCCCACACATCGAGACAGTTCTCTGCCTTGCAAACAAATCCCTCCATATTTACAAAATATTGTCCCTGTCTACATAAACTGAGAATATGCAGCACAAGTCACTACTTTGTGGTGGCAGCGAGGTTGCACCTGTATACCACATTCAAGAAACAAAACCTAAGTGCCTTGAAAGAGTAGAAAAAAAAAAAATCCTCCTGTATCTTTAAGATTTTACTCCACAAATGAAGGGGCTAAATTTGGAGGTAGCAAGGAAGGGAGAGAATGGAGAGCAGCATAGAGGGAATTCTGGTTTCACCTACAACCCAAAAATGCTGGAGACTTCCATCAGCAGATCAATGAAACAGCTTGTGTGGACAGATGCATTTTAAAATTCTTTGGTTTCAAAAGCAGCCCACAGCTTAGTGGACAACTCACACAAATCTTCGGTACCTTCGTGCTCAGTATGAACTCTCATTTTGAGCTTCCTTTTTTTAAAAAGATAACTTCCTTAAAAAAAAATTAAGATTCTCCCTCTTGAGCTGAAGCTTTTCAAGACCAACCGCATTAAATATCATAGCAGCCACAGACATGTTGCCGCAGCAAGTCTTAACTAGAAGCTTAATCCTATCCTTGCCACAAATGTTTGTCAGAGAAAGGGAGGGAAACTGGTCCACTACACACAGCACGAGGCAGATGAGCTGTACTCAGGCAGATTCACGCATTCTGAAACTGCAGCAGCTGTTGAGTTGTTAAATCTGACAGGACACCATCTATAACTGGAAGGATAACATAGTACATTTTGTTCATCCAGTAAACTTATGAAATACTGATGCATGTCTTTTGAAGCTGAAAGGATTCCATGAGTTAATACTCCTAATTTTTTTTTTTTTATACTGATTCAATTCTCATTTTCACTGAAGCCATGTGTTTACATAGAGTGATAGGAAGGCGTATTAAAGAAAGCAAGAATTTATCTTTCCCTCTGAAATACTGATCTTTAAATTAAGCTTACTGTTAAACACAGACAGGAGTTTAGGCCTTGCAATTCACTCTCTAAAGAAACTAGAACATGCCTGCAAAGCCACTGAAAAGAGCGTTCCAGTTGGAAGTTTCCACTGGGTCACAGCAGAAGAAGAGAAACGGATTTTTAGATCCTTGTCTGATCCTCTTCACCACTGTGTTTACACATTTTTGCCCATACATCCCAAAAGGGGGATCAAGGATTATTTTTTTCTTCTTCTTCTTTACAATGTACAACTTGCTAGCCTGGTCAGAGTCAGTTTATTTTAACAATATGGAGGGATACGTTTCTGCTCAGCCTATTAGAGACAGTAAACTTCTTATGGTAAGGCATGACTAACTTTTATTGTTTGCTTGCAGTTCATTTGTGTTCCAGGTTTTCCTTGGAATTGTGTCCCCACTGGCACAGAATTAGAACAAGGGTAAAGAAAACTGCCTAAATATTACAATGGTCCTCTTATACAACTTCATTTGGGTGCCTACTAAGCAGCTATTAACCAAGTATCTAACGCAAACATAAGGCCCAGTTAGCCTACAACGTTTTAATTAACAGAGTTAAATTTCAGCTTTGGGGTACCTAAAAAGGTGCATCGCTAAAATAGGCGGAAAGATAGCTTTAAAGAACTATTTGTTCTGTCCTTCATTCCCAGATTTGCTCAATGCTATGGTCTTTGAAAGTGCTGCATCAGACCCATTTCAGACACAGGATTCCAAGCATTTATGTGAAGCCTACATTACATTCCGTTTTGAATAGGCCCTACACCATCACAGTCAAACAGCTTAACAGCTGCTGGTCCTGAAATTTCTTCAAAACCAGGCTAATGCTGTTTCTCACCACTTAGCAAGCACTGCTAGGAAATGCTAGGACATACATAGCTTGCCCCAAGAGCGCTGTGCTCCAGATCTTACTGATCTGAGAAAGCAAAAGCATCTAAGACAAACTCAGCTTTTCTGCCTGGTACTACACAGCACTTGGCAGTAATCTGAATCATTGAGTTGGCCTTCAAATAAGGGGGGGGGGGGGGGTGTGATTTAAACCTCAAATTTGTGTGTGTGTGTGTGTGTGTGTGTGTGTGTGTATGTATGTGTATATAATAAAATTTACATTATATATAATGCAAATTAAAAGGGGTGTGTGTGTGAATTTTATATATAAACACACACACGCCCCTCACTTCAAAAAAAAAAAAAAAATCCCATCACCTCCTTACCTCAGCATATTTGGCTGGAATATCAGCTTTCTCCACACCATAGTGATGTTTGCAGTTTGTGGCTGCAGCCACCTGAAGCACAACCTGACCCACACCTGCAGGAAAAGTAAAAACAAGCCTGAGAACAAGGCACAGTATAAAACTGCTGCAAGTGGAGACGAGTGCTTTTAGAGCAAAGGCCAGGCAGTAATAAGGAAAACTTAGATCATTTGTGGGACAGCACTTCAGGATAGGCAGTTTCAACTCCCAGTTCTGCCTGCCAGTTCTCATATCAACTCTGTCCGTTCCTCAACTGAAAAGATTTAAGCCAGTGTGCATTATTAAAATAAGTCCTGTTTTCCAGAGCTATAAGAAATATTAAGAACCTACTTTTCAGTAAAAGGACTTTACATCCTAACTACAAAATAAACAGAGTAATTTAATATCTTTCTTGCAGGCCAAAAAAAAATTCTAGTACTCCAGTTTTGAGTTTTATATTTTTCCATACATTGAAGGCTTTTTAACAAAATAGTGTAAAACTACAACATTACAGCAACATTTGTGTTGATAAACATTAACAGCTACTTTTATTAAATATTAAGGGCTCATTTTTACAGATGCAGAGAGGCTTCAGGACATCTGAATTTTAAAATTTTTGTCCACCAATTTTATATGCATTCCACAAAACTTACAGATTTTACATGTACTTCACTATTTAACTGCATCCCAAAACAAACACTTGTTGATCGCATGCCTACGCCATTAAAGAACGTCAAAAACATTTGCAAGAGTCTAACATTATTTATACAAGCTTTCACCATGATCCACAGTACATACGGAAGTCTGAACATATAAAGCATATTTAAGCAAAGGGTTCAAAACTCAAAACAATTGCAGAAGCAAAACTACACTGGCAAGACTAAGCATTACTTAAAAATGCATGAACTTCCCTTCACTCCGAATTCTACTTGTGTCAGACACTACCAGCAGTAATTAGCCGCCATTTCCACACCTTGCCTCAATGCATTCCCTGTCTTCTTTCTCTCTGACTTACGTTAAAAGGAAAAAAAGAAAACTATCCATTAGATTTCTGTCTGTACAAACGGCCCAGATTTTGCACACACTACAGGAACGTGGAACGACACTGCTCAAAGTGGTCACTTTCAATTTTCTATGAGCATGCAATATTCATCAGTAGTATACTGACGCATCACCTTTTGTCTACGACTAACACAAGAGGGATGCTCATCTCACCAGCCCGCTACGAATCTAAGAGGATAACCCATTTGCACGGAAAGCATATTGCCGTTTTCCATTTCACTGATTGCCTGCAGGAAGCCACACTGGTAATTGAAGGGGTGGAACTCCTGCCTTTAAACCATTACCAGGACAATGCCGTCTGGCACCACCAGAACTGCAGTGCTGACAGGATTTGTTGCTTTATTTTTTTGTTGTTGTTATTTCACACTTTGCATACACACAGATTTTAAACGCATGCAAATATAGATGTATAAATTTCTGCACGGGGAACTGTTCAGTGCCTTCAACAAGCACTGAATAGTCTCATGCTAAGCACTGGGCACGGGGTGGGGTACAACACAGAAAAAACGTGCTGAGGGACACAACTGTTTCAGTATCTCCTATTTAGGGAGAGTAACAAGGACAGAAAGACAACAGGGAAGATCAAGAACAAGCTGCATTGACTCAAATCATATGGCTACTGCAGAAGTTACTAATTTTGTCTTTCCTTGGCTTTTCTTTTGAAAGAACTTAACTGTGCTGTAGTTTGTTTGCCTAATTATGATCAATACCTCCATAAAATCCTCTTGCAATCAGTCAATTAATCCTGACATCCTACATGGAAGTTTAAAAAAAAAAAAAAAAAAAAAAAAACCCCCCCCCCAGCCGCAACATTCTGGTGGAGGTTTAGCCCTACTGTTCAGCCATTGCTTTATGCATGTAATTATTGGAAAAATACTAAGTTTGCTGACAGGAATAATATACTGTCACAGTATTTTCACTTAAATTGCATTCAATATCACATTCATTACAATTTACAAAAATTTACTCCATCAGAACAAAGTCAACAACTGAGAGAATACTTTCTTCTGCACGTTCTGCTTTTAATTATTGCAGTGCTCCAAACACTAAAAACTTCTGAATTTAAACCATTCCTTTCAAATGCAACTGAAACTCTGTAAATTTTTATATTGTTGGTCAATATCCAACACTAAAGGGTAGCAATAAACACCTGATTTTGATTCTAGTGGTACAAGGAAATCTAACTTCTAAGTTTGATCACATACTTCATCCTGTTACATAAACAGCAGCACTACAAGACTTCAGATACGATCTTCTTTGACCTTCCTGCACAAACAACTACAAGTATCCCTGATATTTTTTTTCCCCTTCCAGATGGAAAACAGCTCATCAGATCTGATGCTTTTTTAAGTGTCTCATTTGCACATAAGTCATGAAACAGGAAATTTAAGACCCAAGTTCCACTGAGGGGAGAAGAGGGAAAACGGCTGAAGACCCCTGACTTGGAATATGTTAAGTATGGAAAAAACACTGGTAGTTCTGCTGTGTTTAAGCATATTTAGTTGTTAAGTATATTTTAAAATATTTTTCCCCCCAAAGCCGTCTATCTTAACAGCCACAAAACCGAAACATGCTTCATCTAAAACTTTATGATCAACCCAGTAAAAGGGGAAATTCTTATTTTTCTTTTCCTGCTTTGAACCAGATCTTAGCAACAAAAACAAGAACATCATCTTCTTGCTCAGTATATCTGTTCTACATGCGTTTGAGTCATATCTGGTTTCTTTACCAACTAGAAACACTTACTTCCTTTGAAAACTCTAACCTGTAGAGGACATGCAGTTGTGAGTTACTGTGCTGTCAAAGCCGACTATAAAGTCTTTTTTGACATACTGAAAAGTATGTCAGAGGGTAAGTAACTGCTTGATTTTCAGATAACAGGTCAAGCATGTCATGCTGGCACAGGAAGGGCCAGGAAATCAGTTTCATTTACAAAGGGCATAAACTCAATCCACAGAAAATGGTCGAATACTTACAATGGAATACGCTACTCTTATCTTTCCAGAATCATTCTTAATATCCTCTTCATTATAAGTGTATCTACCAATAGCAACAGAAACTAAAAGTTTTCTAAAGATAACTGTTTTTGTAATATGGATTTATTGCTTTCTAGCCCATTTCACCAGCAACACAGGAAAGAATATCTAATTAATGTTAGCATAAAAAGCAAGAGCATCATTGGGGGATTAACTAGAAAAGGTGCTTATTCTGCAATGCAATCCTCAGTCCTGGTTTACTTTCAAAATATTTGTAACTTTTTTTTTTGAATGGCAGTAAAAAGCAGTATGCAAAAAGAGAAAGAGAAAAATCCTTTAAGTTATTCATCACTTACCACTGCCCAAGTCAACAAACAAATCATCCTCTGTCATTTTAATTTCATCTATCATTTGGGCTACTAAGTCAAAGGAAGTTTCTCCATAAACCTCTGGGGAAAAGGGCTCATAGTTGTTGAGTTTCTCTGGATCAGTCACTGAGTGGTTATATACTTGCTGCAGGATATGACGGAGGAGCCCATTGGAGGGACGAGTGTTCAGTTTCATGGGCTGGGTGGTTCCCTTCCACTAAACAGAGAGCAGGAAGAAAACATAAGCCAAATACAAGGAAAAGTAAACTTCATCAGAACAAGGCAGCATTTGCAGGAAGCAGAACTGATACAATTCCCTCTCATCCCTTCCCCCACAGGCTGGTCTACAGGTGTTCTCGGAAAAGAGCAAAAGATGTTAACGATGTTAATACAACAAGTATTACTCTATCGTCTGTGTCGCATCAACTAATAGGTAACCTCAAACACGCCTGCTAGGAATAGGTGACAAGGGGAAATTAAAGAAATGTAAAAATCAATGGGCAATATAAAGCCACATATTGAATATATTCAGAATAGGTGACAAGCAAGCTTACCCATTTTTTATTTACTTGTCACTACCAAACCATTATTTGTACTTTTAATATCTGAAATAGTTTCATTTTCTTTCATGAGCTTCGGATGGGAGGGATCACATGCATTCAAGTAGGGAGTGGCAGGAAAGAGATGAAAATCAAGCTTCCATTCTTCAAGAAAAGAGTTTTCTCCTAAATAGAGGAGTTGTTAGTTTTAGAAATATTTTCTCCTTGGATAATTTACTTTGTTCCTAATCTTCCTAGTATACTTCTTAACTATCTTTCCAAAAAAAAAAAAAAAGAGCAAAAAAAAAAAAAGGGAGGGGATGACAACTCCAGGATCCCTCCCAAGCATTCCTCTATTTGAGATTCCAGTACCGTTTCCATAGCTGGCCTATGCTCAAACATTTCAGACGGCAGTTACAAACGCTGAATGTCTTCACTGAATGTCTTCAAATTTTTAGCTATTAGCGAAGACATGAATGAAGACACCTAAATCCAAACAAGCACGAGTTTTATGGAGCTGTAGGCCCACAAGATGAAACAAAAGTTAAATCTCATAGTCATAACGTTGCCTATTTCAAATAATTCCCACAAGCACATTAGAGACAAAAACATCCACTGATTTCCAAAATTAAATACAATAGTAGTATTACTCCACTGTTCATGTTTTATTTCTTCCAACTCAACCTTATATTTGGGCAAGAAAGTCAAAAAGACTAACTTGTTAAAACGGTCTGAAAAGAAGTTTCAGTCTAGTTTTGCCAGAGTGATCCTGTAGAACAGAGAAGCTGAACTGAACAGAAAGGAAATTCTTAAGCCATGGATCACTGCCGCAATACACAGGAGGGTTCATATGGATTATTTAAGTAGCCCGTAAGCCAGAGATTTCCACATGTGAAAGTAAAGCTATATGATAAATCCTTGTGAAACTTCCAAATGCTGAATTCAGGGAAATATTTTTTTTTTTTTTTTTTAAAGGTCACCCAGCTATTTCAAAGTGTCCAAACAAGGGTGCCAAGGGGTAACACTTGACAGTAATAGACTCCAAACTTGCAGCTGGGAAAAGAATTATGGTTTTTCTCTTTAGATAAGAAAGGCACTCAAAAAAAAAAAAAAAACTTTCTCTCTCTCTCTCTATATATATATCTCTCTCTCCATGCTTGATTGCCCAGATACAATCAAGAAAACAAGTTTTAATGTAAGTTTTATTAACTCCCAGAAAGAATGGAAATGCTGAAGCGCTGGTGATGCAGCTAGACTAATATACATAGTTCAGCGTTAAGAAAGTCAGCACTTCCTTGGATATATCCTATCACTATACACGAATTTGAAACCGGCTAGATAAACATCATGGCATAACAAAGGTAAACACATACCAACTGATGAATGCTATCAATGGCTCGGTTGTATTTGTCACAAAGCCTCTGCATGCTTTCAAAGCTACAAAGGGAGAAAAAAAACACTCAAGGTCAGTTAAAAACAGAGCTCTAAGAGGCAGCTGAGATTTGAAGGTACAAGTTTTTTTTTGTTTTTTTGTTTTTTAACCATAGATACTATAAGTAGACAGCTGTTTAGGATTTGTTTTCTGCAATCTATGTAACTACGTACACAGTTTTAGAGCACTGTATACAGTTTCCTTAAAACTGTGGACCAGCAGTACCTGACAAATGAGCAATAAATTCCGCAATACAATATATTCATGTAATAGAAGACAAAAATGGCATTTTACAATAAAATTCTGGAAGCTGAACATTAATATTAGTTTCCTTGATCAACAGGAAAAGAACTGACCTTAACACAAATTCTGATTTTTTAGGAATTGTATTCTTATTGTCCCTTACCTCCTTTCCAGATCCTCATACGCACAAAAATTTAACACATGTAAATTGCTCTGCTTTGTTCCATCTGCCCATGTAGACTGCCCCAGCACGCTATCTATAAAAACTTCATCCATTAGAAAAGCATACCAATTGCTTCATGGGTTGGTTGGGTTTACAGTCAGTTCAGCCAGTCACATAATGACAGAAGCTGAGAGGATTTAAAAAAAATTCATCTCAAGGCAGGGAGGAAAAGATATTGCTAGGAACATCATATATAATCAGATTCCACAAAGCAGCAGCGAAAAGACCAATCCAAGCAATTATATGAGTAAGATAACTAAATCGTGGCCATTCCCAAATCAGGAAGCGTGGAGGGAGACAGAGGCCGTGGGAAGGAAGCAGCTCTTTAGTTTCTTGTGAACCTCAAATTATCACTACCCTGGCCAAGACTCCTTCATCGAAGAGTGCTGCTGAATCCCCTCTACAAGCTTTCAACTGTCTGTGTTTAATTCCATGTTAAGACAAGAGAGGCTGAAATGAGTTTCGACTACATACAGAGCACACGTTTCTGTAAGTCACTGCTCTTTGTTCACATGCATTTGTCAGTCAATCTGCTTCACGTAATTTTTCCGACAAAATTTTCAAAAGGAAGTAAACAGATTAAAACCATTACCAGAATTACAGGTTTATGGCGTCCTTGAAAAGCTGCAGGAAGGTAAGTGAGGTGAGACTTTGGGGAACGGTGGTTTCGTTTCATACAGCACCACTGCTGACAACACTGAACCTACCAAGTTACCCGTGCCCAGTGAGGACACCAGATCTACAAACGTTACAGCACTGCAGTCTCAGTGCATAAACCATGGATTTGACGACAGAGGCTGCTGGGCCCTGATCTCTCCTTTTGAATTCACTGGGAAGGAGAGAGGGACTAACATGTCTTGCGGTGAAACAATTAAAGGAAAATGAAATAAAGAGGAGGAAGTAGACTGCGATAGTGCTCAGGACAATAGCCGCTGATATATTACCAATTGATGCAGTTTCATCTGTAAACCTTCTTTTATAACTTTCGTCATGCTGTGGACTTGAACAAATCCAGTTTTTCCCATGAAAGCAATTAAGGAGGTTTTTGTGAATTACAACTTGAGGGTCATCTCTTTCTCCAGGCTCAGTACAGCCAAGTCAATACACAAAACATCAAACTTCTCCACAGATATATGTCACAGGGTCAGAATCCACCTCTCCCAACCACTAGATGAATGCCACATATCATACATCTCAAGCTGTTTGTGGAATAGGTATTCGCATGTAGCCAAAGGCATCTTAAAACTACTTCTAGCTGCCCAGAAAAGTGGTATAAATACTTTGCCTTTTAATTTATCCCCCCCCCACTCAAATAGCATCCCACTTGCATTGAATTCTAAACAGAGGAGAAATGGGGAACGTTAACCTCCTACATTCATGGCAAGAGAAGGACACAGTGCTGACAGACAGTTCTGGCATGCCATTTTCTAAACAGGAATTCTTAGCTACTACAAAAGTAGAAACCTCAATGCCATTCAGATTCCTAACTCTGGACGCAGTCCAACAGCACAGATACCAATCATTGTTTCAGAGTGAGTAATTCCAACGTACACCAGAGCTCAACTTTCTGCTGTGTGGAGTTTCCAATTATGTCCTTAATCCAACAGCCTTTGCCAATATTTCTATTACACATTTCCTACCAAAATAACTTTGCAGAGTCTGAAGCCAGTTCTAAAAGAAAACTTCAGTTTATAGTGTCTAAGAATAACTAGTTACAAACCAATTCGTTATAAACTGTTCTAGCTTGCCCTCCTGGTAGAAAAAAAAATTCTTCTCACCTTTTTGTATCATAGTCAATTAAAACATAATTTTCCATAGCAAGCTTGAGATCTGGGATTTCTTCACAGACCCACCTGAAATGAGAGAAGAAACAGAATAAAACCAACATTTCCAACTTAGTTCAATAAGGCAGACTAACTGCCATTGCTATATATAAAAACAGAACACTGCAGCAGACACGGAAGATGACAATACTGTTAGGAGTAAGGCAGACATCACAAAATGCTAATTGGAAAGCCGCAATAGTTCATATTTGTGTCGAACAGTAAGAGCAGTAAGATGCCCGTGGACATTGGCAGTACTATAAACCTCTTGAAACAGCACAACTTCAAAATGAGGTGATAAATATATTCAATGCATCTAAAAACTCACAAAGCCGTAGCTGATGCTAACCTAACATAAAACATAATGCAAAGTGTAATCTTTTGACAAGATCTTTAACAAAACCGATACTGTAATAAGCGTTCTTGACAAAGCTGAATGTTGAGAAGACATTTCCTGCAGTACCCCAAAACAATGCTACCAAATATTCGTTGCAAGGATATTCTCCTTTGTGCAGTGCTCTAAACTGTTCTTCCACCTTAAATGACCAACCCTGAAACAGATTTTCAAAAACCATTTTGATAAAAGATCCCTTTTGTGTGCTGAATTAACAAGGTCCAAAGTGGTGTTGCCATTAAAAACGGAAAGCTCACACCCATTTGCAATGCCTTCAAGAACAGAATCTAACAGAAGAGATCTTCACTCTTGAAAAACAAAGATTATTTCTTTTCACAGACATTTTCAA